AAAGTAAACGAAAAAAAATATAAAGTTAAGGTTAAACCCACCAGAAGAACGTAAAACGAAATGAGAAGCTTTTCCTGTGCATTTGAGTCTGTGCACTCTATGGCAAACTCACATTTTTCTAAAAATATTTCAAGATCTTTTAAACTGGTACCATTAAATGACGGTGATTATAGACGTAAGGCAGCCTCTAGACTTATCTGATTGATGGCCGTTTTACGATGTAGGGGAAGAGGTGGATTGAGGTTGTGTTCGGTAAATAAAGACTGAAATTCTGGAGACTGTATGATAGATTTCTGTTTGATAGGAACAATTGGATTAAAATCAGAAATTGGATTTTGAACTTGCTTTAACTTTAACGAGGTTTGACTACACTGACCTAGAAAACTATCAGTGTCACCTAGTTTACCAAAAGTTGTATTTAAAAGTTCAGAAGAAGATTCAAGAAGAGCATCACCTTCAGTTAATAAATTTTCTATAGGAGGATTAAATGACAAAGTTAAACGTAAATTACGTGAAGGAGGTTTTGAAATAGATACTTTAGTATTACAGGATGGTTTGAAATCAGGATCAACTGATTTGTCGTCGATAGGACTACTACTTTTACTACTAGAATTACTCATAAACAATATTTATAATACTATCTTAAATTCCAAAGCTGAGCTGATTCAACAAAAAATAATTAAATAATAAACATGAATAAACAAATAGATAAATAGATAAATTTAAATTATATAAATGTATAAATAGCTAATTAAGTTTACCCCAAGATTTTCTAACACTTATTTAAAAATATGTTTATGTATGTATAAATGATTACATGTAGAAACAAAAAATATTACCTATATATACATATATGTATACTTTTTTACGCTCAAATAAATTTAATTACAAAATAAAACTTACAGTAAGACGATATTCACCACCACAAACATGATGTGTTGATAGTTTGATACGAAGATGATCTAATGATGATGATCTGAATGTGAATAATGATAAATCCCACGAAGGTTTGATGTTTCTTCATTGATGGTCTACGCTCCGAAACTGGTCACGCGGAGACCACTAACTTGATTTGTGGGTTTTTAGTGAATTCTTGATAAATTTGTGTAAAATATATGCATATATATATATATTTGTATTGTTTAATACTGCATGTATTAAATTACAACGTTGCGATGTAGACAACGGCAGCTCTATCACGAGAGAGTAGAGTTCGGGCGTTGGCGAAACTATATGCGTTAGTAGTAAACGAAATAATAATAAAAATTACTAATCGATAATTATATTAAATACAGCAGACAAAATTTATCTGTTGTTTATTATTTTTTTTATTAATTTGATTTTCTTGATGTTATTTAAGTTTTGAAGATTTTCTGAATTTTGATTTCGATGTTTTTCTTGATTTTCTTGAGATTCTGGAGTTCCAAACCAAACCAAACCCAACCAAACAGTGAGTAAACGTGGTACCCACTTTGAACAGAGCTTTCTCATGCAATATAAAGCCAATACGTTCTTTTGATATCAGCTAACTGACGCAACTTCATTTTACGATCATTCAAAACAATTTTGTGGATTTTTTCAATATTTTCTGGGGTTATTGCCTCATTTGGACGTCCAATGCGTTCTGCATAATGAAAAATCCGTGTTTTCTTTGGGACTTTTCAGTCCATGTGTTATACAGTATATTACAATTTATTTTATACTCTTTTTGTAATTTATTTTTGTATATATTATAATGAGTCAACCCAGTATACATAAATGTTGTTATAACTGTTTGATATATCGAATTAATCAATATTTTTTTTTACACTGTACAACTTATAACATAGTACAACAGAATTTTAACCAATGATGAAAATCAAAAAAAGTATTTATTACAAAATGTCAAGGATTATAAAAATAAGTATCCCGAAAGCAAAAAATCAACTTTATTATGATGTAAAGAATTTTGAAACTGAAAAAAACAATTAGCATAATTTATACATTTATAACATCAGCAATTTTTTTTCAACTGTGTATTTTTTATTTTTTGGGGGGGATGCTTAGCCCACATTACAGTTTTTGTGCTGAATTTATTAATAATTAAATAATAAACGATTTTTGTATAAAAGATGTATTCGTATCTCTAAATGTTTGCCAAATATAATGTAGTATTCGTAAATATTCCAATTTCGGCAAATCGATAAAATATAGTATAGTTTTAAATTTTGCTCGAAAACTAATGAGTTTAAAAAAAAATGTGTAAGAATTAAACTTATAGTCCATAACATTGTCAACAATATATATTCTATAATTTTTTTTCTATGATCGCTCATTTCTGAAGTAAGTACAAAACTACCCCTATTGTCCAATTTTCAACCCCGAGTAGGCACGGGTTAAACTTGTCTGATTGACGTGAAATTTTTTTCGGTTCGTTTTTACATGTATATAAACAAATTTGGGGGGTGAGACCAAGGAATTTCTAAAAGGAATTTTTCATAATCTATAACTAAGGACCACTCTAATATATATGGTGGCGACAAGATAAATACAATAAATCTTTCACTAATTTTTGCTCTAGTAAAATACACTAACCTTTTAAACGTCCCAAATTATATGCGATGATATCGCAACATAGAGCTTGGACAACATTTAATAAGCTCTAATCGTCTAACGCACAATAAATAGCATTAGCTTGTTCATATCCCGTCGACTTTTTAAATTTCGGTATACCAATTAATAAATCTAGAATTTTACTAGTTATCACAATTGGTAACCTATCAATGCCAGAGTCTCTTACATTTAATTGGTAAAATCTTTCCATCCCAATGCATAGTGACCTACATAGGAGGACAACTTTGAAAATTTTTTTTTAATAAATTAGGCCGTTCAATTCGCATAGCATCACGAAGAAAGCACCAGGAAGTCCTTGGTTCATTAAAAATTGTTTATCGGAAACTACCTTAATCAAATTTAAAGCATCGATATCAAACAAATTATTAAGATCATTAATAAACTCAGTTTCTTTTACTCTAAACGTTTCCCCAATTTTGTGAGAATTATTTTGTAAAAAGCGCCACTTGTCATAAAAATTAACTAACTTGTTTACACAGTGATGAAATGCACGAGTAGGAATTCGAGCTTTTTCTCAGAATATATTACACTCACGAATAGTAAATGCTGCACTTGCTCTTATAGTAAGATTAAAAATTATAAAAAACTTTTAGAACTTACCCAATGGATGGAAGTTTTGAACCTAAAATTTGAATAGTCAAAGACCCTATTAAAAATATTTGATTGTCATTTCGTAATACGACCGACATTTTTACGTACACTAAAAGAAAAACACAATAGGAAGCAGTTCAACTTAATACGCGACGTAAGCGACTTAAGTGGTATAAGTACGAGTTCACTATACCTATTGCGATTTGCAATAAATTTACGATTTCCAGAGTTATTTATAATTTAAAAATAACAACAATACATTAATCCAGTCATACCATAGTATAATCGCCATAATTTCACGATAAGTGTCGTAATGTACTCGATGATAACTAACAGAATCTAACAATAAAATTCATATATTTAGTAAAAATCGCAATATGATCGATTTATTTCATTTACAGCAATAAAACGATCGGTTCAATGAAATTTGTACTTATTATTTTATTTCGTAAAATTTAATTTAAACAATTTTCGTATGAAACATTAGGTTGTATCACATATGGTTCATCAAATATGATAAAATATTCGTAAATATGTCAATTTCGTCAATTTTACGAAATATTATGTATTTTGATATTTTTCTAGAAAATTAATGGATTTAAAAGAAAAACTGTTAGGATTTAATATATTCAAAACAATTAAATCTACAATTTAGTTTCAACAATTTTTTTTGTGAGAACGCTAATTTACGAGTTAACTTCTAAAAACTAAAAAGGTACGCCTTTTGGTCGATTTTCAACCTCAAGTCGGCACGCTTAAACTTATGTGTTCGGGCTGAAATTTTTTGTAGCCGCATTTTATATGTATACCCACAAATTTAGGAGGTGAGCCGGAAGAATTTTTAAAATTTTAAAAAATAAAGGACACTAATGATTACGCTTTAATCTATAACGTTTTTAAAATATATTTGGTAGTAATTTAATTTAATTAACTTATTAACAATTTTTCTAGTAAATCTTAATCATTGTGTTATATTAGTTGTAGGCGATAATGATCAGAAAACAGAAAGTCAAAATGCATTTATAAAAGAGATTCTGATTAATTTTGTATAATTATTTAGTTAAATTTAATTATAAAAAACAAATGAATAGTTCACAATGAAATTATAAAAAAACTAGTAATAATATAAGGGATAATAATAAATAGGTAATTACATAGATAGCACAAACAATATAAAAAAATGTTTAAATGTCTCACTTATTTATGACATAGAATATATTTTAATTCGTACCATCTAAAACTAGTACATTAAAAGTTTACAAGTATTAATGTTTTAATTAGTTCACAATCAAAATTTTCATAATTTTAAAAAGTAGCAAATAACAATTAACATAATATTTAGTAAATAAATAATAAATAGAGACATATAATAAATCTAAGTGTTTAAGAACATGAGTAATTTCAAAAGTAACACATTTATATTATTATTTTTCAATGTATACACCTAGAATTTAATGTATATGGCATACATTTATATATATTTAAATTGAAAAAAATTCACTCAGTTAAATGTCTATATTTTATAATCTTTTATAAATGAATTACAAAATAAAATATAAAGACTAATATTACCGATGAATAAAACTTCAATTGAAAAATGAGGTATAATATTAGATTAATTTAAACAACACCATTTTAATTTTTCTTTTGAATTATTTAGATATTAATATTAAAAATTATATACTCAATATTAATTAATATATTAACATAATTTTTACTTATTTCATACTATGATTACAATAGTAATAAATAAAAGGAAGCAGTTCAGTCAAGAAAACATTTAAATTATGTAATAATTATAATATTTTTGTAGGTTAATTATTATTAAGCGTTCTCGTCATTTAATCAAATTTAGAGAATGATTAAAGAGCTGAGTCTTGAGAACTGCCAGTTAATTTATTACAATCAATGTAATATTGTGATGTTAGATTATTCAAAGAATTTATAAACTAAAATATTATGTATCTCAAAAGGGTGCTACTAAAAAGGCATTCCAATTTTGGGTGAACTAGCTAAAAAAAAAAAAAAATGTATGTTGTGATTTGCATAATGATAAGACGTTCTGGTAAATTTCAAGTGTAAATTTAAACACTTAAGCATGTGTCTGAGGCTTTTATAAATCAATTTTTAACAATAATTTCATTTACTAGTTGAATATTTTGTAGGTGTACCATCAGGATTTAATGCAGTAGTTTCATTGACTGTTGATGGAGGAGGCATAGCTATTACTGTACTTCCCATTTTATCTGATGACCCAGTACCATTTGTTGAGGATGGTTGATTTACAATAATATCATCTTCGCTGTCTTCCTAAATATTAAATATAAAAAAAAAACATTAATATTAACTTATTTAACACAAAGATTTATAAACAGAATTAATAAAAATACAGCTTGTTTATTTAGATAAGATAACACAATTAGGAAAATAAACACACCATCAACTAAATACCCAAGCTAATTCTATAAAATATCATGCATATTTCTTTCTTCACTAATGAAAGAGATTTTTGTTTTCACTTTACCTTTATACTGCTTTTCTATGGACTTATATAATTATGTAATTATGACAATAATGTACTCATTCATTTATAAAGGTAAATTTTTTTTTAATTATTAATTAATTTGAATATTTAATAAAATATATTTACACATGTTTCCTTAGTTTTTTTTTTTTATTAAACAGAGAAGAGAGAGTGTAAGTTGTGCAGATAAATAATATGTAAAAGACATTTTAACTTTGTATGATAAGTACAGCGAATCTCACCTTTTTTATTGTATTTTCATTTGAAGCAGCTCCACCATTCTAAAAGAGAAAAAACACAAAAACAAGCAAATATTATATGCAAAATGGGTCATTACAAAAAAATTACTAAACAAATACAAACAAATTTAAAATAAATAACTACAATACATTTTAAAATCATTTTTATTATTTATTCAATTATTTTTTGCGACTTGAAAAAAAATTGTTTTCATTATTATACCTTGATTGTGTTAATAGTATTTTGATAAAAATGTATGCAAAATTTGACATCATTCCAGAAGTTTTATCCTTGAGATGTCCTTTTAAATTTTACAATAGTATTAAAAGAGGTGAAGTTGGGAATCGAACCTGGAACCCCGTGCACTGAAATACGTTTCTATTCACTAGACACCTCAATATCAAGTTATTACAATAAAAAAATTACCAAGAATGATGAAGGAACTATCTGTGAGCTATAATGTGCAAAATAAATATTTTAAAAGATGTAGCTATATGCAATTAAGTAACAGAGAGTCAGTATAATAAAAAGTAAACGAAAAAAAATTAAAAGTTAAGGTTAAACCCACCAGAAGAACATAAAACGAAATGAAAAGTTTTACAATATTTGAATAAGCGACGGCTAGGTACATTATCACAACTTATAAAGATTATTAGCGTCACCAAAATTCATTTGAAAATGTTTTGCGTGAACAATATCAATTATATCAAGTAAAAATAATGTAAAAAAAAAATAATATTTTTTAAAATCATTACAACATTTCTATAAATAAAGTTAATAAAAAAAAATCAATTTTACACTTTTTACAACTTCTATAAAACTCCATGTCCAATTTAAAATTTTGTGGAATTACTTCAAATCTCGAAATACTATATACCCAATCTAGTGGTATAAAAGAAAAAAAAATGTTTATTCACATTTTGTGTATGAAAACAGTAATTTTACAAATATTTAAATTGTGGCTAAAATAATTATTGTGGACAAAAACTGTTGAAATATTTGAAATCAACACAAAAAAAAAAAAAAAAAGATTATAAAATATGTTATGACACAAAATGTTTTGTACTACGTAAGGAGCCCTAACAATTTAAGATTTTTACTTAGAATAACTACAAATTAAACTACATGCAAAATATACTTAATAAAATTTAATAGTTATAGATAAATTTAAAGGAAGGAATTAATATAATTTTTCTGGAAAGAACAATAGTACAGGTTATTTTATTAACAAATTTGTGACTAATTTAGATTCTTATTATAACGATCAAAATTATATATATTAACACGCTTACATTTATAAACTTTGTTAAAGAATTTTAAACACATATTCTACAGCTAGTAGAACTTTTAGTTTCGACACGAAGCTGAGAAGGTATTGGTTTTACTATGATTTTTTTTTTTGTGTCTGTTACCACTTTTTCTTAGCTCTCACCGAACCGATTTCTTTCAACAATACGTCAAAAGATCACATATTGTATCTAGTCGAAAATATTACCCTCAAAAATTGAAAAAATTTCCCTCGTTCCACGTAAATTGGAGGACACGTCCAAAAAAATTACAAATTTAAAAATCACTAATTTTCCACATTTTTTAAATTTTCTTAACTTAAAACTACCATAACTTCTTTAAAAATAACCAAATCAATATAATTTTTTTTAATGATACAAGAGGTATTTACCTATCATTTTGTATATTTTTTTTATAAATTTATACTTTATCATGGAAAAAAAAATGTTGGACTTTGTTTTGTCTTCATGGTGAAAATGGATACCAAATGCTATTTTTGTGTAAAAATTCTCGATTTTGTATTTTACATTTTTAATTTTTTATGTTATAACTTTTTGAAAAATGTATGGATCAATACAATTTTTTTATGAGAAATAATATTTATATCCCTTTTTTATTCGACATACTTTATCTTAATCAGAATATAAATAAGGAAATAGCAGATCATGTAGCTTTTGGAAAAATCCATTACTTTTTTAAAATTAAACACTTATTAATGATTTGCATCATAGCGTTTTTTATGAAAGTGATTTTAATCACTATCAGATATCATTATACTTGACCCCTTTGTTCTGGGTTTTTTCATACAGTTTCATGCCATACTTATAACTTATGAGTAGTACTCATGCACTATACAAATATACTCAAAAAAAATTTAATGTAGTCTACTCATTGGTTAATTGACAGGTAAGAGGTAGCTGGGATATTAGAATTGCTTAAATATATATTAGCCCCCTTAATATGAAAATGTACTCTAATTTACATAAAATAATTGTAAATACTTCATAGAAAAGTAGTTATCCTTTGATAGACATATAATTGGTAATGTAATAATACCATATTTTATTTTTCTGAGATATTATACATGTATAATACACATAACGTAAATGTTTTATAAAGAAAATATTAAGACTTTAATAATAACATAATAACTCAATAGGTTAATTGAGAAAATTAATAATTAAAAAATGTTATATATTTTTTTTAATATCTAATATAAACAACATAAAATAAATATGATTAAAAAAATTTAATTTCAACATTTTATTGGTAGAAATAAATCTTTTCTACTTCATAAAGTCATAAATTTAAATAACATCAAATCCAGCATATTATTTTGGAGGGGAGGGTTTAATTTGCAACATTTGTATTAAAACTAATGCTAATAGTATAAAATAATACATTTGAATACAAAACGCTAATTTTTGATCCTTAATGCTTGAAATAATTTTTTGAACAACTATTTGAGAAACATTTAGTGGAACTAATATAATAATATTAATAATAAATTATTATGGATGATTCCATTTATAATCAACAAGGCCTAGTCTTTCAATTTTCTTTAAATTTTTCGAACAGGTTCCAAAGCTATGGTACCTTAAAGACAGCATAGTAATAATTACATGGTAACTTTTAAAAATTCATAACATTTTAAAAATGAGTTAAGAAAGTTCTAGTTGTTCTTTTTATATTTTTTTATTATCTATTTTTATAAAAAATATAAAAAAAATTAAAAAATAGATTTTTTTGAAACTTTTTACTTAAAACTTCAGAATAAAAAGCACCATAATTTAAAATTCTGAAAAATTACATTTTTGAATACATTTGATAATTAATTAATAACTTTCAAGATGGTGTCTTTAATATTGAAGGAGATATTGTTATTCAAAGTAAAATAGTGGTGTATTTGTGTTAAAAAAAATAAATTATAATTTTAATCTCATCAACTTTTATACTTGTTTTAAATAATTCTAATTTTTTAATCTTTATTAAAACCAAAAATTTTAAATTCATAAGTATCTTTAATTTAAAGTGAATGTTGAATTATCAAGCTGAGATTGCAATATGAAGAAGAGTACCTTTGGACAACATACTTTTGGTAAGCACTTCAGAGCTATGCTTGTAAAATTTACAGAGATTAATCTTATTTAAAAGTTATCGCTGAAGTTATATAATTAAAAAAATGAGTTAACGAATGTAGTTTGAATCTATTTAATAGTTTAATTTTATTTAATTAACTAGCCATAATTGATCAATTTTTATTATATAATTATAAATTATTTTTTGCAAAATTTAAACAAAATTAAAAGACCCAAATATTTTATTAAAAATTTGTTGATTTTGTATGGAATGGCCCTTATAAGAATCCAAGTATATGACGTAGCTAAAGGGTCACATAAGCACTGCTCCTTCTAATGAACATAACATTTGTTTTCAAAATCAATTAATGAGCAAATAAAATAGACCCAAAACATGGGTTTGTTGCACATATAAAATCTTTTCTAAAAGATTTAGAATTTTATAATCCTAGACATTTGAGCTTCAATGCAAAGCTGACAAGGTCTTGGCTTTGTGATAGCTTGTTTTTTTTTTATATTTGTTCATGAAAATTTTAACTCTTACTGGACTGATTTTAATGATCAATAGGTCAAAAAAATTAGTTTTTAATTTAGTTGAACCTATCAAAACCAACAGTGTAAAAAAACACCCTCCCTACATCTTAAAAATGGGGAGTCAAAGATGATCCTTGGCTAAGCCAATATTGGACGAGATGGGTTTATGACTAGCTTACACAAGAGACTACACATTACTGTTTTGAAATAAAAAAAAAATCCCATTTTTTGAAATTTATAAAAAAATATATTAAAATTATGTTACCGTAAATAATAGCTTTTTCAATAATTTATTACTGCATTTTAAAACTGAATTTTAACAGATTTTACTAGATACAATAAGCTTTCTTTTGGTATGTGGTTTATATAAATCCAATAAAAAACTGAAGAACAAAAAGTGTTTAAAAAACACAATAATGCAATTATAAAAAATGTGTTTCATCTCGATTTTTGTAAATTTTCCAGATAACTTCTAACCTTTATCAAACAACAGCAATTGAAGTGTACTACAATATTAAAAAGAAGATTTGTGCCGACAATTGTTCTACAATATGAAATCGACCATTTTGCATATCAAAGCAAAAAAAAATGTTACTTTCAATTAAGCAAATAATTTAACAAACATTTAATATTCAACTAAAAATTTAGATTATAGAAATTATAAAATTAAAAATATATAAATTTTGAAATTTAAAAAATTTGCATTTATGTTTTTTTATGATAGTGATCTAAATTATATTTATGATTTATGATAGTAAATTATTGTTACATATCATCTTATATTTTTATGTTCCAGCTTAGCTGTGTCTCCACTGTGCTGGTTATTTTTTAATGTATAATATATATTTTTTTAATGCAATTATTTAGTACAATGATAGGTGAATATGAAAACCTAAAATGGTTCATGCATTCAAAATATGCGTGAGGAATTTTTAAAAATAAAAAATATAATAACAATAAACTTTTTAAACTTTATTGAAATTAATATATTTAAGCATTGCCCATTGTACATGATAGAGGATTCAGTTTAGGCATCCCACAAAATATAGAGATTTAAATAAAAGTAAATATAATGACTAGGAAGTAATTTTCATGCAACACCTTAAAATATATAAATTGAAAATTGACACCAAACCTGAATTTTCCAAAACTTATGCCAATACACATTTTTTATAGAATGATAACATTTATCTTTGTATTATTGTATGATACAATGAAATACTTACATGTAAATTTGTGTAATTGGCTTGCTGTTCTTCTGATACATTTGGTTTGAATTTTCCAAAGCAAAAATTACAACAACAGCAACAGCAGAAGCAACAACAACAACCAGTTGCTATGCAGGATCCTATGATAAGTGCCTAAAAAGATAATAAATAACATAATTAGTCATTTAATTAGAACAAACATCAAATTTTTGACAAACCTTGCACCATTTTGATGTAACAAAGAAATAAGCATTGACATTTTCTTCTCCAAATTGTTCTGCAATATACAAGCCTAGAGATCCATAATTATCATAAATATTGCGTTTGCTGGCATCAGTTAATATTCTGTATGCTTTGTTTATTTCTTTAAACTATAAATTAATAATAAACTTTTAATAACAACTTTTTTCTTGTATTTTTAACAAATATTAAACCTTTTCTTCAGCTTCAGGATTGCCAGTATTTTTATCTGGATGGTATTTAAGAGCTAGCTTACGATATGTTCGTTTAATTTCTTCAGTTTCAGCAGTTTTTCCTAAGTTCAAAGTAACATAAAGAGAATCTCCACTTGTTCTAGAAAATATTACAGTAAATTAATACTAAATACATAATTTAAATGTAAGTTTGATTAATATTAAATTGATCTAAAGCAGCAAAGTTTGTATCCGTATAAGTGAATTAACTACATTTCACTTGAAACTTGTAGAAGAATAAAAACTGAATGCATTTGTGAAGTGAACTCTGTTAATTTTAAAATAATTATTAAAACTATCCTTACATACACTATGTATTCTTATCTTATTAGTAAAACCTACTCAAACACTACAGTCAGTAGCTTTCTATAATGAAGTTTTTTTCTAGCTTTAAATTGAAAAAAAAAACTAGTGATATACCCCTTTTTAAACTTTTTTATTATCATAACTTTTAGTTTGATGCAATGATAAAGTATTAATTTTATCACAATGTGTTTTTTCCCCATTACTTTTTTTCAGCTCTTACTTGACTATTTTTTATAAATAATAGATAATAAATCATATCTTGTTATTATTATAATCATTATCTTTTAAAAATGGAAAAAATTTATCCATTCCTTAAATTATGGAAATCACCCCTACAATTTTTAAAAATCATTAAATTTCGAAATTTTTTTAACTATTTTACTCAAAACTGCCATAACTTTTATAAAAATGAACGAATCAAAATAATCTTTTTTTTTATAAATATCTTAGGTATTTTCCTTTCATTTGGTATAGGTTTTTTGAAAATCTGACCTTTAACATGCATACAGGAATATATTCAAAATAGCATCTTTTATCTAAAATTTAATTTTTTTCAACTTAAGTTTTGAAAATGTAACAGAAATATTCCAAGTTTCAAATATATGTTAAAATTAAGATTGTGTTATATACTATAAGTATTATATCTTCTATATGTAAACAGCCCATGAAGTTAAACAAATAATATTATTTTGATGCAAAAAATCGTTTTATGTGGTGTTATTTTTTTTTTTCTATTACCTTGTCTATATTATAGGTCAAACGATATAGTTTTATAGAAAGGTAGGTAGGTATAAGTACCACATTAAACCCCTTTTTACAAAAAAATTTTAAGAAAAAATTTTTTATTATATGATTTTTAATTAGAACAATTATTTCTCAATAAATTCCATAAAGATAATAACTTAAATAAAAATGTATACACTTCTGAAAATCAGTAATAAAACTGTAGAGGGGGTCATATAACTACAATTAATAATAATTAATTTTAATGATATGTTTCCTCTGTCTATAAAACAAGCTAGTACTACAGAATATAAAATAACTATCGACAGAAGTGTATACTTAATTATAAAATTCAAAATAGGATATTTGAATAGAACTATAATGAAACTGTTCTTAAACTTTTTTGTTTTAAATTCATTTACACTTATATTAACTCAAGAAAATTCAAAAAATGATTTGGTATTCAATGAATTTTTTGATAATTTACTAAATCAAAAAGGCTATACTGATCGATTTAAATTATTTTTTAATGAAGGAATCAAGCAGTTTTCAATAGGTGTAGTTGATGGAAAAGATGGAAATATTGTCAAATTATCAGATTTTAAACGTAAAGGTAATGTGATCTTACATCCAGAAAAAATTGAAACTTGGTTGCAGTATTCATTTATTGCACCTCGTCTTGAAGTAAATTGGAAAAATTCTAAGTGTTTAGGTATAAAATGTCAACTATGGGCAATCATATCAGACAATGAACTTATTGTAAAAATAGCTGTGAAACCAGAAAAATGTGATGTTTCATATAGTATTACTTTGAAAACAATAAAAAATATGGATATTTTTGTGACAGAATTACCCAAGTTCATACCAATTTTCTTTTTCAATAGTGCTTTTAATTTAGTTGAATTTATCAATGAGCCATTAAAAGAGCGTATTAAACATCGCATCAGCCATACAGTACTAAACAATTTTTTTAATGATAAAGAAATAGAAAAGCTTTGTCAAATTGTTGATAAAATAGTTCATTGATAGAGTAAGTTTCTATTTATGATGATGATTAAAGATTTACAAATAATATTGTATAACAATAAATTTAATCACAAAAAATTTATTTTACTATATTAATTTCATTCAATAATTATAATAATGTTTTTATATATCATTTTACTAAGTATAACTAAGTTTAATAAATAATTAGATCTATTTTGATCCACTTTCTGTTAACAAAAAATGTAACTTTGTAAGATTATAAATTTTAATTTTAAAAACATATCCAGCTATTTAATGCATTTTTTTTAAAACCTCAATCAGTAAAAATTTTTAAATAAAAATAATTAGACATCCATGTATATGTTATTTTAACTATGTTTACATAATTATTAATATAAAAATAACAATTTTTGAATTTTGAAATTTGTCATTATTATTTTTTAAATAAATAAAATTTACAAATGAAATATCTCTAATTTATAGGAGTATAAAATTTGTTTTTATATTGAATTATACAGTGAAATAATATCACTAAAATGAAATATTTTTTAATGATTTTAAGTCTGAAATTATATTTTTTCTAATACCTCTTTTTTGATATTACTTATTTAAAATTTAATAAATTTATTTTACTTATTGAAATGAATCGTCTTTGGCAAGATAATTAGCAATCATATTTATGAACGCTTAGTTTTATTACCTCTTGAATGTTACACAAAAATTATAAACATCAGTCTACATGTTATACAATTAATTTGTATCCATATTGTTTATATAAATAAATAGATACATAAAATATTGGAAACTTATTAATATGTTGATACCAAGGTTATTGTTTCCAGATAAGAGTTCATCATCCCCATAATACAGAAAATATTTCTACTCTACTATATAACATTGTCATAGAATAATAGTTGCACAAACTTGGAACCTTCCAAAGTAGCTAAAATAAAATTTATAAATACATATAATTCTAGACTCTAATAATGACATTCCAATAAACTCGAGAGTACCTCATTTTAATTTTATCTTTATAAAATGAATACAACCATAATCATGATTAATTTTTAACCCAATCATTAAAACTTGAAGTATAAGTTTGTGAAATACTGAAAAAATTGTTAAAATAAAAAAAATTATCTCTTTAATTATTGATAAAAATTGACCTTAATGATTGTTTTTCATTACTTATACATGTTTTGAATTATTTTTCTGGTTTTATATAGTAACTTTAATGAATATAATCATTAGTAAAAATATAATAGTAAATAAAAAACTTTATAATTTAAGTAGAAATTAGAATACTATTTTACAGTTTTTTAAACAATAGACTAAGATTATCAATTTTCAATAAAATAACAGAAATTAGATGGCTAATCTGTTTATAAGGTCATTTTATCTGTGGTTACTAACTGACCATAAATAAGGTACTTTTTTCAATTGAAAATCTATAATATGAAAATTATTAAAGAAATAATGTTCAAAATTTTAAATAATTTTACACAAGAGCAATTTATTGTGAAAAAGTATATTCCTCATGAAATATTTGTAAACATAATATCATGTGATCTTCGACTTCTTCACAATAAAACACTAATGTAAAAATAAATATGTCATTAAATGCTATCCAGGTTTCGATATTACGAGTTGATATGATATCACCTATATAAAACATCACAAAAATCTCAAAATAAGTATGATATTCAAACTCTGTTAATAAGTTCGAAACAAATGTTCAGTGAATCACAGCTTTTTTCACTAACATGAAAAAACTAAATAAATAAATTATAATATCTAATAAATTGAAATAAAAATTTAAGCATAGAAGCATTATTGTATAAAATATTGTTTTAGTAAAATTTTTAATTCCAATATTGGACTTCTTAACACACACATGGTTTATTTTATCTATAAAACATATACTAAGCAAATTTAAAACTTAGGAAAAAAATTCTTGAACCTAAAAAAGTAATTTTTTTACTACAATTTTATTTATGAATATGTAATATGTTATATTATTCGAGTATATGCTGTATACTCCATTAATATTCTTCCTAATATAGTTTATATTAATGATTTATAGAAGAACAGAAAATTGAGAGTAGCTGTAAACAAGATTGTAATTTTGAAAATATAGCTAGCAGCCATCACCCGTCGGTATTTTCCTTGTAAGTTCAATGTTTTATTATTTTTCAAGATTAAAATGTTGCAAACAAATATTAATAAAACAAATTTTGGGGTCATCTATGCCTACCAGCTCTGGTGAAAAACTTAAAATCCATAGATGATAGGAACTCTACCCTAATTCAAATATTTTTAACCCGTTTAGTGTTATTGCCTTTTAAAATAATATTTTAAATCTATCTTAATATCTTTTAAGTATTTAATTTCTATTCACAAGTTTAAGTATTAAAACAAAAAACTGAATTTTAAGGAAATTGATAGTGAATTGAAGCTTCTATCGAGATCACTTTTGCAACAATATGGTGTTCTTTATGAAAAATTTCAGTCGGAATTCATTAAACTACTTGAATATTTAAAAGATCTACTTACGAAAGTTTTCGTTTATCCATTTCAAATGGGTGCGGTATATGACACAATTAACTCACAGTGTACAGCTAACTTGCTTATCAACGCCCGGCCTGCGCCGTTTCGTTATAAATTCCTTTCGAGAAGTTAACTTTTAATACTGTAAGTACCTTCTACCAACCATTCTCAAATATAAATACTATTTTAAAAATAATGCAACAAATACAAAATTTGCAAGTGAATTGCAAATAACTTAAGGGTTGAGAATTAAATTGGATGCACGTAACTCAACGATAATAGTTAATAGTTTTTTTTTTATCTATCTGTATCATAACATTAATTTGCAAGCGATCTTGAACGGCTCTACTGAACGATACATTAAATCGTATGGCGTTTTCTGCTTTTCACCGGTAGAGGGTAGGTTGACCCATACCAACTGTCTGATTACAGTGTTACCAACTTGCATAATTTTAAATTTACCACTGTCATGTCGGTGTAGTGTTAACAAGGAAGACTAGGGTAAAGGTAGTTTTAGTTATTATTGAGGTGGACAAAATGCTCATACACTCACATGTTTTTTAACTAGGCGGCTATTTGTTCATAGAAGAAAATGTGTCTGACATTTTTTTTTTAACTTATAGTATGTAACAAGTATTAATTTAATATATGTTTAAAAGATGGGATACTTTTTATAGGATTTGAAACCGTTTTTATAACATTATGATTATAATTATAGCTACTTATAGTATAACTTTCAAGGTATATTGCTTTTTTAATGGTTATCTTAAACTATGCTCTTAAAGCATAAAATTCGAATTTTGTAATGAAGAATTTAAAAATGAAACTTTTATTTTACATTCTTTGCGATTTTTTTATTTTTAAGGTGTATTTGTTTTAGCCTATTTGACTCATTTTAAAGCTTAATCATGCAAAACTTATTATTTTTTTCAACTTAAGTTAAATTTTTATACTTAAACGGGATGAGAAGTGAGGCCAATAAATTTCTAGTGATAAAAATAACAGTATCTACTTCTGACTTCCAGTTATTACTTTAAATTGTTAATATTTTCTAAAATACTGATCTAAAAGATATCATTTTCTTAATTACATCATTTTTTATTATATAAGCCAGTTAAGTATGTGTGTTTCCATTTTAAAAATTAATTTAACACTTTTATAGAATTTAAAAGATAAATATAAAAAATATTTTATAACGCTTAAATAGAAATACATACCGAACTAACAAAAGCCAAAAAAAAAATTATTATTTAAAGAAAAATGTGTGGTTAATGTTAAAAGAATCACTTTGTGTATTATTCCTCTATATGTTATATAAGAAAATATTCGTGGAGGGGCTTGCCCTATCAAAATATGTAAATTACTTTTATTTTTATTTAGACAGTTTTTAAGGAGAGAATTAAGTTAGATTATTCAAATATTTTAACATGGCAGTTTTAAAAGTTTTTAAGAACTTTAATGTCTTTTATGTTTTTTATTTAAGTCTAGGTCCTATTTATAACATTATATTCACGTTTTACAATTAACAAAAAATGTATGGTTACAACTTGAAACGAATTAAAATAAAAAACCAAACTAAACTTATACAACGAAATAAGTAAATACGAGCAAGTGTTTCTCAACACAAAAACTAAGTGAGACATTCTCACGTGCAAGAAATAACGGGTTAATTCCTAATGAAATAAAAAATTATTAATGACGTTTAAATATTGAAAAAATAAAAGATTGATATTGTTTAAATACCACTAGTCACAATTTTTCAACACCTTATTTTTGATATTTAACGTTTTTATAACAAACTTACTTATTCTCTATAGTGATGGATGAAATAACTAGAGAAATACAAGGAAAGGTGCCGTGGTGTATTTTGTTAGCTGACGATATAGTGTTAATAGGAGAAAATAGGGAGGAAATTAATCAAAGGCTAGAAGTGAAGAGAGTAGCTCTTGAAAAAAGGGTTTAAGAATAAGTAGAAGTAAGACAGAGTATATAGAGTACGAGTTTGACAAAGGAAAACACGAGGTAGGTGAAATGAGGAGATCAGTGACAATAGACGAGGACGTGATTGGAGAAGTGGAAAGTTTTAAGTATTTAGGATCAGATGTGCAAAAGAGCGGTGGTATTAAAAAAGAACGTTTTTATAATAAACTTAAAAAATTTTAAACCAATATATTATATGATATAAATGAGTTGATTTATTTAATATTATAAAATTAAATTATATTTAATTTTTTGGTTTAAAATACCCATGTGGCCTCGCATAATAAACAGTTATTTTTGGAAATTGAACGGGAACTATTAATAAAACATTTTTAAAAAGTAAAAACAAAATTAAAATATTATTTATTCATTTAAAAACTTTCAATACATAATTATTATTAATAATAAGTATATCAGCGTTAATATTGCTTAAAATATATTTTTCAAATCCTTTGAAAATTATTTAATTAATGTTTGAATAAGTGTAATGCAAAGAACAGAAAGATTTCTTTTCTACAAGAAAAATTTACATTTGTTTTTAATGTACATTCCAATTGACTTGTACATTATACATGATACATGTATCAAACACATTATGTGTTTGATACCATTATAGAGGAATTTGGGGTTACTTCGCCTTGTTGTTAAGATGACCTCTTTTTAGATCCCCCGAAAATTTTGGTCAAGTTTCACCTTTGACATAAAGTTAAAGATTTTTTTATTTTAATATGTATACTTCATCAATTAAAATCTTAAGGATGAGGGTGTGATATCTTACAAACGTTTTAATTTTCAAGCATAGAAATATCGTAATTTAACTATTATATTTTATAAATTATTTAATATTATTTTTAAACATTTTCAGTTAACATAATACTTGAATAGTTAAAGGTAACAGGTTCTATTTTTTGTTATTTTTCATATAAGTTTTTTTTTTATAAAGTCCGCTTACATAAACCTAACGATACTCTAAGGTTTGGTTATAGTGACTTACTAGTTAACTAGTTTTAGTTAGGTTATAAAAATGTATAATAACTATTGTATAGTATTAGAATCTTATTTTGGACATAATTGATTTCATATTACATAAACACACAATATTAGGTGTCATATATTATCTTCCCATGTTAAAACTACACTGTTAAATTGAACAGCTGTTCGTATTTATTAGATACGTCAGATTTACTCTCTCTCCTACACTGACTACTACCTGTATTACTCATAGGTTATTGTAGTCGTTGTTTCTGGTTTCGTCGCAATAGAGAACAAAGTGAACACTAAACAGATTACGAAGTAGCATTACGTATGTCAATGGAAAACCGATTGTAGCTCAACGCTACGCAGGGCCTATATATTTTATTAAGTGGTTAGACAAAGTGAACACAGTTTTGAGTTCCCTAATAATTTCTGACCTATTGTTTGTAGAGTGATTTTCAATTATTATTTGTGTACATTATTAATATTGGTCACCGTTTATTTGTTATCATCATATCCCAAGTAAGTCAATTGTTAGTAATTTTTTTTTTATAATGACATACCCGCATACTTTATCGTATCAAGAATTATTTGTGTGATCTGAGTAAATTTTTTTGTTTCTAGATTTCTGGTATTTGCAATTAATCATATGCAACATATCTGTTGTATATATTTATATCTCGTTGGTAATTTTAATTTTTTGTAATTTTAGATTAAGGCAGAGTTATGGCAACTAGGAAAAAGGTACTATTAAAAGTAATAATTTTGGGAGACTCCAGTGTAGGAAAAACATCTCTAATGAATCAATACGTTAATAAAAAATTCACCAATCAATATAAAGCCACTATAGGTGCAGATTTTTTAACTAAAGAAGTTATGGTAGATGACAGAATTGTGACAATGCAAGTATGTATAGATTAATTATTTCTAAGATTAAATAGATTATCTTGACTTATTGGTTCATTATTCTAAAAAATTTGATAAATACAATAAATTGATTATTAATTACGTTTCTAATTAAATAAAAATACCAAAACCGTAGCAACCATACATTGTGCCTAGGGCAAAGTTTCAAAATATGCATTTTAGTCCGGGGCTGTAACATATGTGGTGATAGGTAATTATTGATAATGTATTATTTTAGTAAATAAACATAAATTTTTTTTTATTAATAATAATTTTTTTCTTGCATTATAAAGTACTATCAGTAAAGATTATAGATCAAAAGTAGATTAGATTATAAACACCATTTGGTAACATAATATGCTGTTATTTTTGTTTAAAATAAAATTACTTTTTATCTTTGAGATATTAATAACTTGTCTTTATAATATTATAATACATTTGTTGTTAAATAAGAGTTTTCTGTATTATTAAATTATTTTTCGCATTTCTTAATTTTTGCAACTCCTCATATGTTACATTTAGGGCTTAGAACTATTTGACAACCCCCTCTTCTTGATATTTTATTTTTTGCTACCTTGAAAAATCTTTAAAAGTTAATTTTGTAATACTGCCAATTTGGTGACAAGTTTTAGTTTTGTAATCATTATAAATTGTGCAAATATTGAATAAAATTTTATTATTATAGTACAGATAATTCTGCATAATGCAATGTTTTATTTATTTAATCTAAATATCAATTATGTTATTAATTCAATAGAATAAAGTTGTTGATTTTACTTAATTAAATTTCTCTCTCGTTAAAATTTATTGTTTGTTTTCTAAAAATATTTGGGACTTAAAATGTGAATGAACTTGAAATCTATTATTTTTAAAATGGACTACTTATGGAGGAAGAAATTAATTATGAGAATTATTTATTATCTTATATTATATATTTATTATAGATTTATCTTTTTACAGGGGTATTTAATAAAAATGAAATTATTACTAAAGAATATAAATTAAAAATGACTACACTTATATTGTTGAATGAATGTATTTTTATGTATTCCTTAAATACTTTTAGATTCTAAGTTTATTAAAAAAATGTATTGATTTAATCAATCATAAGATGCTTTTTTTACAAAAATATGTTAGTGAGGAAATTTTTGTTAAATAGATATTTTTTTTCTTTACTTAGAGTGTAAAATTACCAAATATATTTCTTCAATGGTTAGATACCTAACTGCAAGAATATACTTTAAGGTACAATTAATTTATTTTTTCAGTTTATAACTCAAACTATAACAAAAGTGATAATTTATTAAGTGATTAATAAACCATAGGATATTTTATAGTTAAATAATTTTGTATATTATAAACTTATTATGACATGGATGTTCTCTGAATTATCAATCACAATTCATATCATATTTATATGATAATATTTGTTTCATTTTTGTCAGTTGAACTTTGAAATTAATTAGACTTAAAATATTTTTTTATGACTAGTTATTTATTGTATGTTTCATTGATCTTGAGTATAAAAACTTTTTAAAAGATGTTTGTTATTTAAATATGTATTTAAACCACATAATTCATAAGTACAAGATTTAAGATTGAAGTTAATCCATCTTTTCAACGTTGTTGCAATTAAAAGATTTTTTAGAAACTCCATTCTTTATACAAATCTAAGATATTAAAAATATATGTTTTCAAAAATACTTTTATTTATAGATACAATTTATCATTTATCAACTAATTTTCTAAAATTTCAAATTAATTATGTAAGGTTGTGGTTTATAGACTGAACAATATGTCTTTATGTACTTAATATTATGTCTTCCTTTATAAGTAGTTAAGAAACTAATCCTACAGTTTAGTTAAATGCCAATCATTGAAATAAAATTCTATGATTATAGTATTTAAAAACTGATGTTAAATTGAAGTTTACAATTTCAGATTTGGGATACAGCTGGCCAAGAACGTTTTCAATCTTTAGGTGTTGCATTCTATCGCGGAGCTGATTGCTGTGTGTTAGTATTTGATGTCACTTCACCTGGATCTTTTAAATCATTAGATGGATGGCGAGATGAATTTCTAATACAAGCATCACCTTCAGATCCAGATCATTTTCCATTTGTTGTACTTGGCAACAAAGTTGATTTAGAAAATCGTGCTGTAAGAATTTTTCCATCTTAAATTTTTTTTTCTATTTTTGACGATACCTCTTCACATAAATTTAGAAATAAAAAAGCCCTTATCCACACTGGGTGATAAATTTATCATTGACCACTTAATTTTTTCTAAAATAATAATTTGACTTTTTTTGGCTTATTTAAGTAGTATTTATATCTCGATTTGAGTGGTTAAATATTTTTAATGACTATTCCTTATATATAACTATAAGGGTACCAATTTTATGGGTTTTTAATAAAAATACATATTTTACTAACTTAAATTTAAAAAAATAATCTTACTAAGAAAATTAATAGTTAATCACAACTTTTTGACTAGTGTTTTTAGAATTTATGATCAATTTTATGCCTAGATAAGAAGAGGAGCGCAACACAGTGATACATCCACACTTTGAATCCAGTATACATTTAAAAATATTAATAACTTCCTATTTACTGATACAAATTTTGTTATCGACCAGTCATATTTTTTGACTGAATCAATTTTTATTCATTTATTCATCAAATCTATTAAAATATGTATATAACCATTAAAAAATAAAATTCCTATCCTTAAAATTGATACTCGATAAACCTAAAAAATATCTCATAACTTATAAATCAGTAAATAAATAATACTACACAAATATATTGATACTTTTATTTTGTCATATTTGTTTATTTTCATCAATTTATTTAAATTTATTATCATTTATACTTTTATAGGTGTCTTCTAAACGAGCTCAACAATGGTGCCAAAGTAAAAATGGCTTACCATACTTTGAAACTTCAGCTAAAGAAGCTATCAATGTAGAACAGGCTTTTAAAACGATAGCAAGGAATGCATTAGCACAAGAAACGGATATGGAAATTTATAATGATTTTCCTGATCAAATAAAATTAGGTGGTGGTTCTGCTGAGAATAGATTGTCTGGTGGAGATAATTGTAATTGCTAGTAGTAATTAAGATACTGAAACTTTAATGTTTATTTTGACTATCATATATTTTGACTAAAAGTCTAGTGAAAGTCAAAATATTATTTTATGGAGTATAATTATAAATATTTAAAAAGATAACATTATACTTGAAAATAGTTTATATTTAATATTTGAATTTAAGTTATAAATATATATTTTATTATTATTTTTGTTTCTACTTATACATTTCATTACTGCCTATCCTATTATATATTTTATTGTTTTATATAAAATTTTAAAAGCAATCTTAAAAATTTTGTTATAGATTTAATTTTATGAAATTTAACTATGTAGAAATAGTTATGTATTTGTTTAAACACACATTCTCTAAATGAGATTGTTAACATGTTATTCCTTTCATAAGTATACAATTTATTTGCAGAATAAAAAATAAAATTTCTTATTCTTACATCTTGTTATTTAAAATATGTTTTTAATAATAGACCAATGATTTATTTACTGCAAAAGACTGAATCTTTATTTTTTCTAAAATTATAGTTTTCATGCATTCTACTAAGGGGTTATCTATATTTTTGCTATAGTGTTTTCACTACAATATCTATTTATATTAATATTATACTTTCATTAGAAAAATTTATATTATACTCTTAGGAATAACGTTTCATTTATTATTCTGATGAATAAATTTGATGTTTACTATAAACAAGATTAAGAAGAATTTATTTTTTTCTAATAATTTTATGTTTTTCTTTTAAATTTCAATGTATACTTTAAATTAATACAGTTTTATAAAAACTAAAAAACTACATTTTATACAAATTGTCACTAAACTTATATTTATATTTAACTGATATTTGTTAACTTAAATGATATAAAATATTTTAAGCAATCAATTATTATTGGACTAATATATCTGGTGTAAGCTGATCATTATATTCATTCCGTCCATCATTGGCTTAGCCAAGAACCATCTCTTACTCCCTAACATGTGATAGAGGGCCACCATCCATTATTATATGCGTAACCATATATAATAAACCCAGCACAAGGTGGTCGCGGCACAGTGGTGACATGCAATAGTTGGAATAAGTATAATGATATCTGACTGTGATTAAAATCACTATAAAAAAACACTTCGATGCAAGTCTTTAGATAGTGTTTAATTTTAAAAAATTGGTGGATTATTCAAAAGGTTCATGATCTACTATTTCCTTATTAATATCCTGATTAAAATAAAGTATGTCTGATGAAAAAGGTATATAAATATTATTTCTCATAAAAAATTGTGTTGATCCATACACTTTTCAATAAGTTAAAAATATAATAAATAAAATCGAGAATTTTCACACAAAAATAGCATTCGGTAGCTATTTTCACCGTAAGGACAAAATAAAGTCCGACATTTTTTTTTCCATAATAAAGTACATTACATTAGCTTTAATTTAATCTCTAATTTAATAATCTCTAAATGGAATTATCGATGACCAACTGCATGGTAAGAGTTCTAGGTAAATAAAACAACAAACATGTTATTTGTAAAAGGGTTACAAAAAAGAGACATTTTACAACAGTATATGCCACACGTAAATGTCATTAACATGGAAGATATTGTGTTTTTTTTTTCCACAGTCCGGCATACTGTGGACCGCCCTGGAACTACCGTGAGGTATTGCTTCAGGGCGGGAAAGATATTGTCTGCCCTCGTATAACGCAACTGTCAACAAATAGCTCTTATCCATCATTCTTGTTTTATTTACCCAAAAATTCATATATAATTAATTTAAGCATTATTATTGTGCTGAAAAAAAAAAAAGGGATAGAGTAAAGACTATTAGTACCACTATGCGTATAGGGGTATAAGACTATACACAGGTATACAGAGGTGTTGTGGAGCGTATACGCGGGTATACGGCGTATACCCACTTCTTTGTTTTTCTGTTATTGCGTATACTTATAAAATCATGAGTGATACGCGGGTATACGGCGTATATCCACTATTAGTTTTTTTATTAGTGCATATACGTATTTATAAAATAGTTAAAGAGTATAGACTAAAGAATAAAATAAAAAGTAATACGTGGGTATCGAATATAGGTACGTTTGTCATAAAACACAAATTTTGAATAACTATTATCAGTTTGTTTAATCTCTACAGTCATACCACATATAAACATATACCTGAAGTTATAAACATACAAATATGGCTCGAGACTATTATCATTTTAAAAATAGAATATAAATGTAAAACAAAAATAAATAAATAGGATAATGTTTATCATTTCACGACAATTTTATTGATAAAATTTAAAACATCGATCAGAAATTAACGATATAGCACATACTAAGTTGAAACTGAAATTTATTGGGTTAACCTATAGCTGTTGAAATTGGTAATTTGTATTTTTCCGTAATAAACCGTTTACCAACCAATCTAGTATTTAATATATTACCTATAATGAATTAAGATAGTACTAACATGTACCTATTCACGTTTATTTCATTTATGATTTAACGATTTGAAAACAATAATTGTAAGATTATTTTATTACTGCATAAAGTTTATTGTTTATTTATAAAAAATATAACAGTATCTAATAATACACATATCGATTATATGACTATGAAATTTAATTTATGTAAGAACTTAGAAGTGTCAGTAAAAATATTCGAGTAATAGTTTGGAAGGAGCTAGGCCGTATCTGGGAGGGTTAAGAGTTTTAGTTGCATTATGTAATAATTAGAAAATACATATTTTTAACACAGTTAAAACATCACAATATTTGTATTCCGTCTCCCAAAACTATGTTATAGTTAAGGCCTTTGAAAAGTAGTGTGGGGGTGAAATTCCCCACGTTTCCTCATTTAGGTTTTTAACTTATCTATTGATCAAATTACGACTATATCACTGTTGATAATGTGAAATATTGTATGTAGAAAATGTAAAGTGCAATGGGGGGTGTGGGGGGCGGAGCCCCCCACGTTATTCTCTATTCATTATATAGGCGTATACCCATAAACATTTTTAGGACTACACCACTGCAGGTATAGTAATGACAAGTCGTTAACGTTAGTTTTTCATATAAATACCCTATACTCCGCTCTAAAAATTTAATATTTTCAATTGTATTAATTGCGCTTGTACGTTGAAACACTTCAAACATGGAAATCAAGTCAATTTTTATTTGTAAATGTGTGGTTGCTGAAGCAGAAAATTTTGCTGAAGCAGACGAACGGGAGCTATTCATTGAACAATTTGGGCAGATATAACCGCGAGTCCATGATGACGGGTATTACTATGACCCATTGGAAGAAGAATATTTGCAGGCAGAAAATGAAGATGAGTATGAGGAAGAAAAAGAAAAAATTGAAGATAGTATTGAGGATTCTGATGGTATGTATGTCAACATTTAACTTTGCAAACAAACTTCTTAACAATACTGTTTTTATTTTTAGATAATGATTTATCACCACATCCTGAACGGATCTATTCTGATCGTGACCTAGAACTCTTACCATGCAGTTGGTCATCGATAATTCCATTTAGAGATGCATTTTCGCTTCAATCATGGGAGTTGGAATTAATAGAATTGCTTCAGAACGATTCTGACAGATTTGTTAGACGTCATTTGTTTAGGTAAATATCAAATTTGTTGGGTCGGCTCGCAGAACCTAACCGTCTGGGAAATTTGGTCCGTGCAAATTTTTTTTGCTACACCTATGAGGAGGTTAAACTTTCAATGAATAGGTGGAGTAGAAATGTTGTATAGGCCAACTACAAAAAGGTCAATATTCGAATGGTAATGGACGGTAAAGCGGTGTCAACTCACATTTTTGTTTGTAATACAACTAATAGTCAATGTGCGGAAATCATCATCTAAAAATAAAAACAGTATTATTAAGAAGTTTGTTTGCAAAGTTAAATGTTGACATACATACCATCAGATTCCTCAATACTATCTTCAATACTATTGCAAAATATAATACGACGTTTTGTCAGACCTATCGACAATAACGACGATAATTACTATGTAATAATGTTGTTTGATTATTTATTTTCATTAAATGAATAATATAAATATTTATAATTTTTTTTTTATTTAATATAATTTCAACAATAAATTTTTTATAATCATTATACTAATACATTACATTTTTGTAATCTGTTTATTATTTTTCATTAGTTTATAAGGTATAACTACAAATCTTAAGTTTCAATGTTGTCTTCATTCCTAAAAAATAACACTATTTAATATATATTTAATAATTATTAGCATAATTATGGTATACGTACTCTACTTTATAATGACCGTAAGCGTAGGTAGTAATACGGTAAATGTCTATAAACCGCTTATCATCTGAACGGTTTAATGTCATTTTCATAGTCTTAATGGTGTATATTTGGTGTTGAAATGATCTGATTGACACATTTTCTCTATACGGTGTATAAGTCGGGTACTTTACAACGGAGCAATAAGGGTCCACGGCTCTCTCATGAATGTTGTTTACAACCATCGTGTAGCCGCTGTTGCATGAGCTTCACTTACTGCGGGCTTCTCTTCAGCATACAAACACCGTTTCAGGTCCTCGACTGTAAGATGATTTTTCACAACGTGACCAAGTATCCCTTTCGCCTTAATTTTTTTTTTACCCTTCAAGTCAAAACCATAACATTTTGGTCTGAGACTAATAAACTCCAATATAGATTTTCCCAGCGTTTCGTCACTCCACAAACCAGGCACCTTCTTGTTAGCGTTTGAATAACACGGGTGACTGCTCGGCAAACCTGAAGTGTCAAGTCTAGCCAATAGATCAGGATTTTTCTTTGCCACCGCGTAAAAGTCATCACCCACGATAAAGTACACTAAGAACCGCATAAGTCGCCTCCAGTTTTAAGTTGAATTTTATCGAACCCATTTCTTTAAGACAGTCGCGTAATTTTTCAACTAAATCGCCTCTTGTTGCCGACAAAAACGATTGATACCCGACTACATTTTCAATATTCTTTTTGTAAAACCATAAAATTTGACTATTTAATGATTCACCCGTTTTATGAAAACCGCTCGTCGTAATGTCTTGTAATCGTTTCACCTTTACCCGTTTACATTTAATGGTATTGTCAGTGTTACATTGCGACGTTTAGGACTAATTGCACTGGGGCCCGCCTGCATTCTCTCCGCAACATTTACATTTTCTAAAAACAAATATTCATTTATTTATTTTAGCATATAAATTTTTAATAATATATTTTCTTTCCTTACCACTCGTTGACATAGCCCTCGAATCAGCATGATTTCCAATAGCAATATTATAGTCTATACCATACTTTACAAGATCTAAAATATTACACTTATATTAACACTATAATAATATATATTTTCTCTTATCATATTACTATTTCACTGAATAATAATTGTAATACTTACGGTGTATCTTTTGAACATGGCGTACAAGTCCGCATTTGTCCGAAAAACTAGATGGGCATAAATAACACTTAAATCGTATACCATCATGGATTTTTCTAGGTCTCATCAAACAGTTTTTGGCGACATACACTTTTTCACACTTGTCACTAGAAAACATTTTTAAGACGTTTAACTGACACAACACTATTAATTTTACTCGAGTAATAATCCTTCTTTTATGCGGAAAAATCACATATTTTCATAGGGGGGTCAGCAAATCATAGATCACATATCCTCGTAAACTAACCCATTACTTCACCACTTAAACATTTTTAACTTAAAATTACTTATTAAATTTTAATTTCTAAAAAGTATTCATTTTTTCATAGCCCCTCTTCTTATTTACCCCCACATGTAGATTAAGCCCCCATATTTGTGATATCTACTGTCATGAGAAAGTTCCCTCTATTATACTCATAACCTTTCATGGGAAGGAAGCCCTATGCCGTTCACCATATCCCCCCGGGCGTTTACACCGCCCGTCCACCTAGGACAGGATAAACTCACATCATGTGGGTGGGGAGGGGGACTATACCTTTCACCATATCTCCCCGGCCGTTTACACCGCCCGTCCACCTAGGGAGAGGAAACGGCCGGGGCCGTTTTGGGAGGGTTCTTATTCATACTTTATACACCTACTTAGGATTTAGAGGTCAATCTTTTTTACCAAAGTATTTCCACTCAAAAAGGTACAATTTTTAGCTTCGATGTGAAGTTGAGAAGGTATTAGTTTTACTATTTTTTTTTTTTTTTTGTGTCTGTTACCACTTTTTCTCAGCACTCACCTAATCGATTTCTTTCAACGATACGTCAAAAGATCACAAATCGTATCTAGTCGAAGATATTACCCTTAAAACTGAAAAAAATCCCTAGTTCCCAGTAAATGGGTGAAATCTCAAAAAAAAACTACAAATTTAAAAATCGCTAATTTTTGACATTTTTTCAATTTTCTTTACTTAAAACTGCCATAACATTTTCAAAAATGAACCAATTAATATAATTTTTCTTTTATAGATACATGATGTCTTTACCTATCATTTGGTATATTTTTTTTATAAATTTGACCCGGGGGGGGGATTTAAAATGAGAACTTTATAACAAAAAATTTACTTTATCAACCTAATTTTTGAAAGTGTTCCCGAAAGTCAGTTTTATATATATCTTAAATTAAAGCTAAAGCTTTAACAACAAATATATTATAATATTATAAAGACAAGTTATTAATATCTCAAAGATAAAAAGTAATTTTATTTTAAACAAAAATAACAGCATATTATGTTACTAAATGATGTTTATAATCTAATCTGCTTTTGATCTATAATCTTTTCTGATAGTACTTTATAATGCAAGAAAAAAATTATTATTAATAAAACAAAATTTATGTTTATTTACTAAAATAATACATTATCAATAATTACCTATCACCACAAATGTTACAGCCCCGGACTAAAATGCATATTTTGAAACTTTGCCCTAGGCACAATTTATATGATTAGTTGCAAATACCAGAAATCTAGAAACAAAAAAATTTACTCAGATCACACAAATAATTCTTGATACGATAAAGTATGCGGGTATGTCATTATAAAAAAAAAAATTACTAACAATTGACTTACTTGGGATATGATGATAACAAATAAACGGTGACCAAATTAAATCAAATTAAACCTTTTTTATTTTGGAAATTTAAGATATTTTCTTATTATTTGATATCATTTTTTGAAAATCTGACACAATCTGTTCACAAAGGGAGATTCAAAATAGCAATTTTATATTACTTAAATTTTGAAAATGTACCAGAAATATTGCGTCCCTTATATATACGCTAAATTAAAGCTTATGTTACGTACTATAAATTGAAAAAAAATTTTGTCCGAACGACTTATCTTCTACGTGCAAATGTAGTTAAAAAAATACTTTTTTGTATTCAAATTTGTTTTTTTTTGTTTATTTTAAAATATCTTACAAGGGGTTGTCATAGTAATGAGACCATTAATTTTTAGAAATGTTTTATTAACATAAATCTAACTTACATTGAATATAAATTTAAATTTATTTTGATTATTTTACCTCCTCAAAGTAAAGTGACTTTGAATTTTTGATCTAGTTTAAATAGTTGTTTTTTCGCAGGTACACAGCATTTATTATCAATGGTGAATTTATAAATATACTAATTGATATACAGAAAGTATATCTATTGAAAGCTATAATTGACAATAAACACTCCGTGACTGTAAGAGCAATATCATAAAAAACCAATTCTTCTAACTTTTTCGTTAACCGAAATGCAGGTTTTTGGTTTTATTTTAACTTTCATGTTATTTGTTACAACATACGCAACAGCTTTTCTCCAAATGAACTATCATTCGCTTTTACGCGGTCCCATGCGCGTTTTTCCAACAGCCAAATGACGTTCCGATAAATCATTTGTTCTTGTGTACGCAATATCATGTGTACGACACGCTACATCGAGTTTATTTATTCCAGGATCACCTCGTGTTAGTCTTTAATTAATTTTTGTGCCTGGCCCGCAATACTGATACTCCGGAACATGCATTTCAATCGGTAATCCATTAATTATTGAATTAACAATACCGCGTCCTACACATTGCATCGTCGCACGTCTTATTCGCACCATTTTCAATTTAATTATTCGTTTGACTAGTTGTAATGTGCGCTAATAATGTTTTTTGAGGAATATAAACATACTCTAACAGTCGATAATGTCGCAGGTCTTACAGACCCCATCGAGTCTAAACATGGGCCATTGTTACCCAACACGATAAGATGCATAATATGGGGACCATCAAATTGTGGTAAAACAAATGTTATGTTTAAATTATTAACAATGGAAAATGGTTTGAGGTTCGAGCACCTATACGTTTGCACGAAAACCCCGGATCATTATAAATATAAATTATTAGGTCAGATTATGGATAATGTGCTAAAATTATTTATGTTAACCAGAAGTGAAGATGTACCTCCACCCGAAAAATTAGAAGCAAATTCTGTGTTAGTATTCGATGATGTAATTTGTGAAAAACAGATTCATATTACATCTTATTTTTGCCGAGACACAGTGGCGTTGATAGTTTTTACATAACACAGACGTATTCTAGAATTCCAAAACAACTGATTACAGATAACACTAATATGATTATAATGTACAAACAAGATGAAACAAATCTCAAATACGTTTATGAAGATCATTGCTCCAGTGATATGAGTTTTAATGAATTCAAAGCAATGTGTTTACAATGTTAGAATAAAGGACGGTAAGTTTCTTTACTATAGTCAAAGATGACGATCTCAAAAATGGATGATATCGATGTGGACTTGATGTATTCATAAAAAGTGCGCGAGTATACGTTTAGTTAATATCAAATATATATATACTCTGAGAAAGTATATGGAGTCTGAGAAAAATTAATAATATATAAACATTGTAGAAATATTTCTACTGTACAGTTGTACTCACCAGTATCCATGTAAACCAATTCGATTGCGTTGCCAAAATGTGGTTTTAAACGTCGTAGTAGTTCTTGTACATTAGCATCTTGCTAATGTCAAGTACTGCTAAACTAACGTATATTGGTTTGATAAACTTGACATTCTTTGTTTCCATTATGACAGCGCACAACCTTTTACTGTATTTGATACAGTCGTTGAAGGTTGGTTGGTTTACGAGCTTTGCTTAGACGTTCGGGACTTAATCAAAATACAATAAAAAATGTAACACAATATAAATTAAGTTGTTCAAAATACAAAATTACACGCACCATAAGTCCTGACCCGTAACTAGACGTTTCTTAGTCAAAACATCAATCCCCCTTACTTTTCATGTTTTTCTTTGTTTATACTTTTTCCCACCATTGTTAATTTGCTTACCCTGCATTTTCCCTTTACATGACATTATTATTTTACTTAAGAATTTAAAAATTGCTTACTATAGTGTTAAAAACTTATACTATTCTAATATCAAAGTTATTTAATACTTTTTCGCCTATTTACTACAGCTACTTTGACAAGTTTTGTTGCTTGTTATACAGTATTTGATTTTTCATGAAAAAATAAACAAACGTGCTTATTATTATATATAATAATGCTTATAAATATGGAATATATTTATAATATTGCTAATTTTTATTAATATTTTATTTTTATTTTATAGGCTTTTATTAATTTATAGGTTTTGAAACTATTGGTTTTTAGTTTAAATGTGTAGGTTTTATTTTTATATTTAAAAACATATCACTGTTATAATATTAAAAAATATAATAAGTGAACACTTAACAGATTTTAAATTAATATTTTTTTGTCCTGAGCTCAGGTTTTTAGTTTTTTAATTAAAATTACATTAAGTGCAAAATAATATTTTGTTATTTATCTAAGAGACGATAACGTCCTGATAAAGTATAGTGAAAATAAATGTACAAAAAAAAATAATATACATTATTTTTATAAAATTTTATATGTTAAAATTAATTTTTAATTTAAGAATTAAATTTTAGAAGAATACAAGAAAAACGAGGCGGAAAAAATAGAAAAAGCCAAAAAAGCTGAAGAAGTAAAAAAAAATAAAAAATGTAGAACTCTACAAATGTTTTTATGTAATACGTATAAAGAATCATCGAGTTATGATGGTTAATATGATTCCTTTGATTTATTTAAGGAGACGGCAATGGATATTTCTACAGCATGATTAATCATGGATATATTTTTAATGATTTATTTTAATTCAAAACTCAATTGATAATAACTTTATACTTCCTATTATTATAAAGTGAAAATTGTAGTAATAATAATTTAACTGCCTTTAAAATTTCTACTTTCTTTTATTTAAGAGAGACAGGCTGTCAGGATAATCAATTATGACTATCAATAGATATACTTTCTGTATTGCCTGTATTTATAAACTCACAACAATTATTACCAATGATAATAAATGCTGTGTACCAGCGAATATCGTTGTTATCAAAAACCAATTAGCTACCTGAATTTATAATTTCTTGTGTATTGTACATGTATATTGACTCAAAAATTTGAAACTTTAAATGTTTATATCTAATAAACGAATAAAGTTACATTAAAAATTCAAATGTCATTTGATATTAAATTAAAAACTCAAATATTTTATTAAATACAAAATATGTGTTTCCATTTAAAAAAACTAAGTTGACACGCATACAAGGCATAAGGAATGTATTACATAGTTAATAATTGAAGAACAATGTGTAACTAGTGAAAACCAAAAAAATATACATTTAAATTATATTAATTCTGTAAGTAATTTAGTGGGTTATGATAAAAAAATCACTCTGTATATATATATATATATTTTTTAGTAAATTTGTGTGTGGCAAGTTGTAAGAATTTTAATCTATAATCATTTAAACAAGTGTTTCTATTCGTCATCTAGGTACAAAATATTAGTTATTTTTTTTTCAATACAAATATAATAATAAATATTTTCAAATTCCCTATATATATATACAAAGTGATAAGAAAGAATTATATTCTGATTATTGGTATTATTCTTCAAACTCTCAGAAATTTGTTTTAACTAAGTAAGTATTCTTTTTATTTTATTTAAAATTTTATAAATTTTATCTAACTTAAAAAGTTTTATTATTAGAGTTAACTTAGTGTTTAAAAATCTCATTTTTGTAAGTTTTAACAAAAAAACAAATTTTAATTTATTATTATTATTAAAATTTGGTTGCTTTTAAAATTTCCACAGCGGATTCTTAAACATTTAGTTATTGGTGCTTAATAATTTTGGTTAGCTTTAATTATAAAAAACGTTCTATTATATCTACTAGAGCTCAGAGATTGTACTACTTCAATATAAGCATTATTTCTATAATGACATATTCATTAAGGATAAGACACACCTTTCCTTGGAAACTATTGAAAAGTTTTTTATTTCCGAAATGAAAATAATGTTTGATTAAAAAAACTCTATAATAATATGTAGGTCAATAATTTTTTTTCGGTAATTCAGAGAAAAAAATTATAAGTTTAAAGGAAACCTGTATTTTTAATTTGATGATAATTTTATATTGTTCTTAAAATATTAGCTATGTAATTCTTTTAAGATTAATTTCTTATGCCTTGTAAGGATGTCATTTTTTCAAATAAAAACAAATATAATGAATTTAATAATATGATTGTGGATTATTTTTATTAGTAAATGGGTATTTTTATTTTTATTCTAACTTCAATCATTTATGGACACTTCCGAAGTTTCGAATATTTTTTTTTAAATACATGGTTATTTTTCTAACTGATAGTTAATTATTTTTACCACTTTTTACGGTAATTTTTCCTGTTGATTGGTTTAATTAAAATAAAACTGTAATAAAAAGGATAAAAGGATTTCGGGTTTTTTAACGCAAATATCAACAAAATCAAAAAGCCCATTGATAGCTGCAAATTTTCATAGGCAAAAAAGAAAAATAAAAACCCAGCACAGTGGTGACGTGGCATAGTTGGATCAAGTATAATGATATCTGACAGTGATTAAAATAATTATCAAAAAAAAAATGCTTCGATGTAAATCTTTAGATAGTGTTTAATTTTAAAAAATTGGTGGATTATTCCAAAAGCTACATGATAATTTCCTTATTAATATTCTGATTAAGATAAAGTATGTTGAATGAAAGATGTATATAAATACTACTTCTCATGAAAAAATTGTATTGAACAATACATTTTTAAAAAGTTATAGCATTTTAAAGTAAAACATGTAAAAATTAAATCGAGAATTTTCACACAAAAATAGCATTTGGTAGCCATTTTCATTGTAAAGACAAAATAAAGCCTGAAATTAGCTTTAATTTAAGTAATATATAAAAGTGTCAGACTTTCCGGAACATTTTCAAAAGTTAAGTTGAAAAAGTAAATTTTTTGTTATAAAGTTGTCATTTTAAATCCCCCCTGAGGGCAGGTAAAAGGTCAAATTTATTAAAAAAATATATCAAATGATAAGTAAAGACATCAAACATCTATAAAAAAAAATTATATTGATTTGTTAATTTTTGAAAAAGTTACGGCAGTTTTTAGTAAAAAAAATGGAAAAAATTTCGAAAATTAGCGATTTTTAAATTTGTAATTTTTTTGGACGTGTCCTCCCATTTACAAGGAACGAGGGAAATTTTTTCATTTTTTCAGGATAATCTCTTCGACTAGATACGATTTGTGATTTTTTGACGTATCGTTGAAAAGAAATCGGTTCGGTGAGAGCTGAGAAATGTGGTAACAGACACAAAAAAAAAATAAAAAGCATCATAGTATTAATAATACATTCTCAGCTTCGCATCGAAGCTAAAAGAGATATAATTTATAAAAAATTCCAATAGGGTATTGCTTTATATCCCCTCTCTATGACTATGAAATTTAATTCATCTAGGGGGGTTACAATGAAGTCTCCACAGCTTCCATGCAAACTATGCCAATGATGTTATTTAATTATCAAATATAATTGAATTTATATTATTGTTTATTTTTATGTTCGAAGATATTTTAGATGGATTACATTATTAAAATTGCTGAAATGAATTTTTACTTGGGATTATTCATTGGTAATATAAAATCTTAAGAATAATTTTTTTTTATTTTAATTTTTTTATAATTATTATTAACAATATAATATAATGCATAATATATAATAGAGGATATACAAGCAAGTTGATGCTTGAGGTAAAAGATCCTATTGAATTTAATAATATATAGTAATGTTTATGTTCATTGGTAATATTTTACATTTATTAATCAAACGATAAAAATTTGTTCAAAAATTATTTTAATTGAACACATATATTTGTTTAAAATGGCGCTTATATTCATTTTTAATAATGATAAAATATTGTTATTTTACGTTGCATGATTTGAATTTAAATATGATTAATAAACAAATTTATTTTTAATGCAATGACTAACAAAAAAGTTAAAAATAGAAATAAAAAAAACCTAATAGCCTTCCAGGAGCATACTATAGTCATCTGGTCATCCAGTTGATTTCCTGTTTTAATAACTTTTTCTATCGTTATTATTATTTATTTTAGTTACTCGATTAACCAATAAAAATTATATGTAATACATCCAAAATTTCTTATGAGGAATGCATTACCTGATTAACTTACTTTACTTATATAATGTAATTATTACGATAAAATTTCATAATTTAGTGAATCAGAAAAGAATAATAATGCTCGTGGTAATTTAAAAGGGGGTATTACTTGTATTAATTTAGGGAGTACTTTGAATGTTACTTAAAAGTAATAAATTAAATAGAATACGTATGACGGGTTTGGGTGCATATTTGTTCCACTACTTCATTGTATTAATAATATTATTACTCAGGGTATGAGTAAAAGGGTCTGTAAGAAAGATAGAAGATGATAGAAAAATAAAGTGATCTTTATTTTATTAATATGGGATTCATTATAATTAATTGTCAATTTTTAAATATCAATAATGCCACGAGTTTTGACGATTATCGATGATAGGTGGGATTTAGTCACCCCATGTGTCTACCCAGAGTGGTATGGTGGCTATACATATGAATCTCCAACCTAACTCCTGAAATAGACACGTATCAACGATATAACTCTGCCAAGTAATTCTGTACAAACATTATCGATTGATTAAATTTACTTGGTATATTTATTATTATTGATGATTACTTGATTTTCCTGTATGCCTACTTAATCTTACTCATAAAATTTAATTCTAAACCTTATATATTTTTGGTGAATTTATTAGATTCCTACCTTGATATTTTCTGCGATACTCTTAAATAAATAGATGTTGTATTTTTTGTACAAATATAATTGTTGATTATATTATATCATGTGACAGCTGATTTCTTGCATCTTTGCTTTACTCACCTCCTTGCCCACTTAGCAAGACAAATCGATGATCTCCGTGTACAATTCATTGTCGTAAGTTCGTGAGTCAATTGTTATATGTGTTATTATCTGTAGCAAGCGCCTTCGTTTGAATAGTAAATTGTTCGGCTATTATACGCCGTTATCCTTTTATTTTTTTACTGCACCCTTGTAATAAACCAAAAATAGAAAGAAAGAAAGAAAGAAATTAAAAAAATCTACTAAGTCTCGGAGAGTAAAATCTTGAGTAGAGTGTCGTAGATTTTATGTATTTAAAAATCGAACTGTTTGAAAATGAAAAAAGAACTGGTTAAGACGGGGAAAAATGGCTTTTTAATGTCTGAAGGGGGTAGCCCAGCGATTTCTACCGTGATCCTGGAAGCTGAGACTTTCTATTCTAATTGGTTAATTGTAATGAGGGCCCTGCGTATAGGCGCTACTTAATAATTTCTATAAGAGGGAGATTTTATCGCATAATTAAAGGGTTATTTTGTATTTTAAATAAAAGAACCCTGTTTTGATGATCTTGTATAATCATAATATGTGACATAAATATACAAATGATAACATCATATTATATGATAATATTATAAGTAAAAATATAATATTACACCTTTGTGCTCAAATTTCTCGCGCCCATGCATGCCACTAGTGATTGGGCCCTAATCATCATTAAATAACTTCATTGCTGTTTGTTTTTATCTACCATTAAATGCCTGGATTTACGCTATGAATCGTGATACTCAGATGTTCGACAGCATTACCACAAGATCTCATACAGTTCACTCATCACTACCAACAACTTCATCTTTTCAGCTGAGTTTTATATTATTTTTCAATATTATTTATTATTTGTTTTAATTGAGTTAACTATTTTGTTTTATGTCAATTCGCCGTCCATTAGTATTTCAGGACCCCCGTTGCCCCTTAAATTTAAGAATTCTCTTTAAAGAACTTTCAATTTTTATTAGAGGTTATTTGTTATTTAATTATTGTCTACTCTCGTTACTTATTGGGTGTGCTGTTAGCCGTCAATCCTCAGGTGACTCACTCCCAAATATAGATTTAAACAGGCTTAAGGTAAAACGACATTTTAGTGCGGTGCACTGCTAGCCGTCCTACGGTCCAGCTGCCTCGTACTAAACATCTGTAGTAACACGAATTATGTCGCAATAATGTAGTCGAAACTGATTTTGAGGGTAGAGATCCGTGGGCCGTTTATTATTCAATAACACAAGGTTATAAAAAACATACAAATCGAAAAGACGAACACAGTTAATAATAATCTTCGCATAATATCGCGACACTTTCGCGGCACGTCCGGAGCCAGTGGCGTATATCCTCGACCTTGTTACTGTGACAACAGGAAGAATACTAAAGGTATCATTTGCAGCGGGTCGTCGTTGGCTGTGCGGCACTTGCTGGACTTAGCCCCGTGGCGTATGGCACGTGGTATTGGTCAGTGCAATACTTATAGTAGGGCGACGGCTGATAAAAGTAACACGAGTCGAGGGGCATTATGTATCACGAAGCGACGCGGGGTCATTTCAGTAGTATAGTTTGTTTGGAAGACTATAAAAAAATTTCTATGCGTATTTCTTTTAAACCTTATGTAATATAAGTAATCTAAATATTATTGCTTTTATTCAAAGTTTTGCATTTAGAGGTATATGCTCGTAATCTTAAGTAATGCATTCAATTATATAAGAATGGTTGGGTTGGGTTTTCAAACTTGAAATATAAAAATAATTGAATAAACATTTATATTTTTCTAGTATTGGCCAGTTCGATGAATAATCTTAATGAAGCCGAAGAAAATTCTTCGTGTAAGTGTTGAATTATTTTATTTTAATGTGAAGTTCTGAACTGAGTGAAAGATTATTTTAAGATAAGTACTAATTTAGTACAATTTTTTGCAAAATTTTTTTGCATTTACATTTTTGCATAAGATGCTTTTAAGGCGTATGTTAAAATTCAACATTAGTAACTCCAATAAATCATACAAGTAAATGAGTATGTTTTATTAGTGTTAATTGATCAAAAAGTTAATGATATTATCTAAATTTATTTTTTAAAAAGCCCACAATTCAATTGAAATACAAAAAAATGTAAAATATTATTTGATTGACTAAAACATACATAAAATTTAATAACTGTTAAAAAACCAAAATAAAATAAATAGTATGGACTCAATAAAAGTTTGCAATTATATATTTTCATTGTATTATCCATTTATTTAATGGCGTAGAAAAGGAAGAAATCAAGGGACTATATTCCTCCTTTGGTCATTTATTATTGTTAACAGTATATAGCTTTGGCGTTAGTTGGACTATGTGAAAAGTCAAAAAAATAAAACAAGTCCCCATAAGCAAAAACTCGTAAACACTATCAATTAACTTTTTTCTTCGCATAAAATGTTATCATTTTATTATAACTTAAATTCGCCTTCATACTTCAACAGTTCCATACATTTATTCATTTTTGTCGGAGCTTACAAATGTAAAATTTAGTTTAAGTCATTTTCTGACGGGGTTTGTAACAATTTTAAGTTATCGTTGTTTCCTATCGCAAACCGTTCATTCCTAGTCTTATTTACTATGTGATTTTCTTTAGTTTTATTGAAATAAAAAAAGTAATTCACTAATCTGTGTCTAAAGGTGATAGTATAGTTGTAATTAAAAATTACAACAGTAATTAGTGTAGAGAAAATAATATAGTATAATATAGAGGCGTTTAGTAATAAGAGATGTCGAGTTAATAAGTTAACAATACATTAAGAGCAGTAACTGTTATCACTGACTAAATTCGAAAAGTTCGTTAGAGAGCATAAAAAGAGATGTTTACATGCAAGTCAAATTTAAAGCACAAAAGATTGAACAGGGGTGTACAGATTTCAAACAAGTACAGAGTCTCATTGAAACAGAAACAAACGGAAAAGGAGCGGAAAGAGATTATTTTTTGAAAATATATTTTTTAAGGTAGTAGTCGATGCGGAAAACTTTATTTAAACGATGCTCCAGGTAAAACAAATATAGTTAAACCAAGATACTCGGTGTGAAAAATATCAAACTATGAGTTATTGGGTAATTACTAGGATTGGCCTAGGTTTATAATTTGTTCAAAAAAGTAATTTACAACAATAAAGAATTAACAGAAATTTCAAAATTCTGTTAGTTAAGAGAACCAATAAAAGCAGAAGCGTTAAGTTAAGCATAAAGTGTATAGGGTACACGATATCTGCTTACAATTATATTATAGCGTGGAATACTTTAGTTATTTTAATCGGTTTAACAATAATAAAAAGCAAAGCCAGTCTCATGTATAAGCTATAATTGATGTGGAATTATTATTAAACATAACATCTTAGCTTATAATCAGATTCTCATAAATTGCAAACATGTTTTCAATCAAATAACATAGGTAATTAGATAACAGCTAGATACATATAACTTTATAAATAAAACATAATAACTAACTCTTATTTAATGACTAAAAACTTGTATAGGTAAATATCACAATTAAAATAAAATAGAATATTTTAATACCCAACCCAACCTTTTTTTTTTTATAACATGACTAGCATTATTGTGGGCTGCCCTATAACTACCGCGAGATATTACTTCATAGCGGCCCACGCCGTTTTTAAAACTCAAACCACCGCGTTGTGAATCAGCCCAAAATTAATCAAGAGTTGATTGACAACGTGGTATGGCTTCCCCGTTAGGCGCATCACTGAGTGGGGGCAGGACTTTGCAAGGGGACAAATAACTCACGAAAACATATAATATGGCTATTTAAGGCGCCGGACTAATCCAGCGCCTTAGGTCCTCCTGTACTGGGCGGCTCGGCTGTCTCTGCCTCAGGCGATCGGCTTCCTCCTTCTTTTCCAAGATGGATTCGGCAAACGCCTGGACCAGCCTCCACGCCTTCCGGCTTCATAACATCAGGTTTTTTTTATAATTCTTAATCTGTACGTATGGTCAACATAATTTTAAATGCATGAGTTTATTAAATTATGACCCAATCTAACCTGTATTATGCACTGGCTACAGTTCCCCCAGTCTCCTCTATTATACACTTGTCTTAGAGTTAAAAATGTGGGTGGAGTAATAGAAAATTTTAGGGTAAGAATAGGAGTGCACCAAGCTTTTGCTTTAAACCATTACATATATTTTATAGTAATGAATGAAATTACAAAAGAAATACATATAAAGCTATCGTTTACCTTTTATTTATTAATAGTAGTAAACCGGACGTCGTCTGAGATACCAAATTTTAAAGAAAAATATAAATAATGGAATTATCGAAACGTAATAAATTTATCGAAAATTGAATTAACCAACTGTTGGTATTTAAGCGGGTTCTTTAACGTTTGTGGTTTTATTTTGTCTTAAGTCTTTGGCTATGTCGAGTATAAGGAATAAGGTGAATGGACTGTTTGAATGTAGAATGAATTTTACAATGTATAATAATTATATATTTAGTTGTTATAATTATTATAACAACTAAATGTGTTATACAAAAATCATAAAATCTTATATACACCAATGTGGGGGACACTAATACTAATGTCACAATGGCTCTGATATAAAGAAATAATAAATTATAAAAGTGAGTAAGTCAGAGAAAGAAGATGAACAAGCATTATACTTGTCAGCTAGTTGAAACGGCGGATGATAATGTTGTATTTTGAAAGGATCAATTGAAATCAAATGCATGTAGTTGACCAACATGTACAATATGTTGTAAACGGTATTTTGATTTATCTCAGAGAATATGTAGACCTAATGGCGATATACTGAGAGCAAAAGGTGCAAAAATCGCAAAGGTGATATTTTACTTTTACAACAAAACGAATACAAAACTATTGGCTCGCAAGCACCATAGAGCTTATAACTGAAGAAGCGTTAAGATGGCGGCGACAATGCAGACATAGAGAGAAGACCGACAAAAACTCGATATAACAACAATATTTATGTGGGTACTATTGGTATCTAGATGGCACCACTTCCAGGGTCTGGAGATAGATAGTGGTATCAAGTATATAGAGGGAGATTAAATCAAGTCGCGAGTAGACTAAGACGTGCCTCTATGTATATTCTTTAGTTTATAAGTGTATTCTGTTTTATATAATATTTTTGTGTTGTGTGAATATTTTATATAGAGTTTTCGTGTGTAATTAAATATATGTGTTATTTTTGTTTGTTAACATTTAATAGAGTTTTTGTGTATTAATTTATAAATATATAAATTAAATAATAGAATTGCGTCTTCGCTCTGTTCCTGTAATTGCCTGTTTGCATTTTCCCACATTTATTCATTTATTTATTAACGCCCGAGGGCATGAGAGCGTACAAAAGTTTAATCTATAGTAAACTTAACATTAAAAATAAGTAATATAAAATAGATTTTAAATATAATGGTACAGTTTTGCTACTGTACCATTATATTAAGGTAATACATTATAAAATAAATTAATCATAATATAAAATGTAATTCTTCTTCTTCTTCTTTTGGTTTTTTACAGGTCTTTCAGGCCCATTTCCGCAACAACCACCTGCCCCCACTCTCCTCTATCATTGGTTGTTTCTTCCGCATTTGTTACTCCCAACATCTTCAAGTCTTCTTTTTTCTATCTCTCCATCTTTATCTGTGTCTTCCTTTGGGTCTTTGTTGTGTTCCGTTGTGTTTTTTAGGTCGTCCTCTGTTTCGGCTAATAAGATTATATCATTCGCATAAGCAACTGCTGTTAGATGCTGATTGTCTCTTATTTCTATGCCCTTAGCTTGGAACATTACTATCCTCATTCATGACTGATTGGGCGATGTTGAACAGTGCAGGTGATTAAGCATCACTTTGTCTGAGACCAGTCGTTACAGGAAACTCTCCGGATAAATCTCCTCCAAAACTGATTTTAATTTTTTCTCCAATTATTTCTTTGTTATAAGGGTTGATTCTGGTCAGTAGTATGTTAGACAGTAGTTTATATGCTGTAATGAGTAGTGAGCTCCCTCTATAATTTTCAATCTTCATGATATCTCCTTTTTTGTGTACAGGGCATATAATTGATATGAAAAATGTAATTATAAATTAAAATTCAAACATAAATGACAAATTTTAGATTCAGAATCATAGTTAAAGTCGAATCTATCGAGGTTGTTGCAAACCCGGAGCATACGACTTTTAGGTTCATTAAAACTATATGATTGACTGTGGAATGATTCATAAAAAACAGTTTTTGATCTGGCATAGAAAATTGTAATTGACAAACTATTTTTTTCAAGAATTTCAGGACAATGAATGTTATTATTTAAAATTTTGTGAAAAATAGATGCATCATAAAATTTACGTCTGGAGTAGAGTGAATGCAGACCTAGCTTCATTGCAAGTTTCTTTGTGGAGCAATTCATTAAAAACTTATAAGATAAATATCTCAAGAAATATGATCGTACATTATCCAGACGATTAATTTGATTAAGCTGATAAGGATTCCAAATTATTGTCCCATACTCCAAAAGCGAACGTACCATAGTGCAGTATAATGTTTTTAGTCAATCGATATTTTTGAAATCGTAGCATGGACGTCTGATGAATCGTAACATGCGTATTGCTTTGCTGTATACAAATGAAATATGTTCAGAGAAAGAGAGATCGGCAGATAAAATGATACCCAATCTTTAATGGAAGAAAATATGTTAAGGTCTTGATTATCAATAGAATAATTGTATATAATAGGGTTTTTACTTCTACTGAAGGATATTTGATCACATTAATTGATGTTTATTAATAAATGGTTATCTTTACACCACTCACTGAAGCGGTTAAT